GTGTTGCTCATTGATCCATCTTTTTTTATATTTCAAATTTCAAAATTTTGACTTGCTAAATCGCGTATCCTAGTCAAACAAAGATTTTCTCCTAAAATATACAAAATTGGATCTTGGAACTTTTAAATCTGATCTGGAAACAGTATGTCCTGAAATTATTCCTTTTCCAAGCAAAATCTTAATATAGAAATTCATTCATACTTCTAGATAAATTTGTCATCACTATTATATAAATGATACCTTTTGTGGTAACAATGTCTCCTTCGAAGAAAAAGTTATATGGAGGAAAATTGCCAATCAATTTCCACGAGTTACTTTTCGTTGAAAACAGATCGATCTCAAAAAGACCAATTGAGTTATGTTTTTTCCTACTCTAACTATTTTATAATTCTTGATAGATGAAACATAGCCCAAACCATAAATAGTAGGAAATCATTTTCTCTCCAACTTTTTCTTTTTACAGATTAAGCTAGGATTTTTTTTCTTGATTGTCTGACGATTGGGTTCCACAAAATGATTAACTCATAAGAAAAAACTATAAAAATTATATCATCACCGGAAGAACTAATAAAATTTACTATACTTAAATGATTGATTCCTCGTATCAGTGGCTTAAGAAGAGAGGCAACAAAATCGTATTGAAGTGTAGCGTCTATAGAGTAGAAATAGTCATCCATGTTGTCACATAGACCATCAGTCATAAAGATTTTATGATGATTCACATCACTTTTAGAAATATCATAATGATGCTTAATGAATTAGGGATCTTCAATTAAAGAATGCCATGATTTGCAAATGCATTTGAATCGTAAAAGTGATTTGACATGAAGCCTTAAAAGAATGTCATTAGGCATTTTGAAGATTTTTGGATTGAGAAATTGATTGGATGTGGGTAGTGTTTTGAGTTTGAGTTTTTCTTATTCTGTAAGAGGGAGTATCTAAGCTCTTCTCTATCAACATATTTGCTTCATCACGAGGACAATCCTGTCATTTCATGTGCTTCACGAGGATGATCAGTATCCTCGTGAAGCACATGAAATGACAAGATTACTTTAGTGATGGAGCAAATATGTTGACAGAGAAGAGCTTAGATACTCTCTCTTATAGAATAAGATTAACTCAAACTCAAAACACTACCCAAAACCAAGCAATTGCTTAATCCAAAGATCTTCAAAATGCCTAATGATATTACCATTAATATTCTTCTAAGACTTCTAGTCTAATCGCTTTTACGATTCACGTTTGTAAAATCATGACGCTCATTAATTGAAGATCCCCAATTCATTAAGCAACACCAAGAAGTGATGTAAATCGTCATAAATTTTTTATGACTGGTGGTCTATTTGATAACAAGGACGACTATTTCTACTATATAAACGCTACACTTCAATATGATTCTGTTGCCTCTCTTCTTAAGCCTCTGATACCAGGAATTAGAGCCGTCAAAACGAGCTTATCCCATGGGGACAATCCGATCCAACCCGTTATTGGGGTTGGGTTGGGATAGAATTATTCAAGCCCATTTAAAATTTAGGGCTTATAAGTCCGACTCATATAATCCCTTGACCCTTGAGGCTTGACGGAGGCCGAGTCGGGGTCGGCCAAAACTTTTTATCTAAGGGTAACTTACAATAATCTCACTAGTTTATAGTCTAATTACTTAAATGTAACATATGTTTTTGATATTATGAATCTTACCAAATTTTGGTACGTCCAGATACATGTATCTCAGAATATATGGACTCAAAATTAGGTTAATTTGTTCTAGATACACTCTATCCAAGTAGATTCGTATGTATCCAGGATACATAGACAAATCTCGCGCCCTCGCTTCCCTCCCATCTTACTTGTCACTCTCTTATCTCGCTCGTGTATCTGGTATGCGAGATACATGCTAATTACTCTAGATTTTTTTATAGTGTTATTGAAACAACACCATTGTCATGTCAAATTTGATTTGAAAATCTTCTCATTTTTTTGATATTATAGAATTATAAAAAGAAAAAAAAAGGGCTAGCCCGCCCTAACCCTTGGCCCTTCTGGGGTTGGGTTGGGTTGAGCATGTTCAGTCCCTTACAAATGAAGGGTCGGCCCGCCCTAGCCCTTCAAATTCCTTGGCCGCGAGCTTGGGCCCGATGGGGCTGGTCCAGCCCTACCAAGAATCAATCATTTAAATAAAATAAGTTTTATTAGTTCTTCCGGTAATGGTATAATTCTTATAGTTTTTCCTTATGATTTAATCATTTTGTGGAACCCGACCATCAGAGAATAAAAAAAAAGCCTAGCTTAATCCCTAAAAAGAAAAAAGTCAGAGAGAAAACGATTTCATACTATTCAGGAAGTATTGTTTCCAGATGAGATTCAAAGTTATGGTTTATTGAATTGTAAACCATAAATTCAATTCCATATCTTAACAACACCTAGTCTCCATTTTTGGATCCAACAAAGTTCATAATAATTTGTATAGTTTATTAATTCAACCATAATCTTACTCCATGATGCATTCTTTTCCAAATACCAAACTTCAAAATATAAAACTGAGTTTTCGCGCAACTTAGTCAAACAAAGATTTTCTTCTACAACATACAGTTGTGGATCGTCCCCAAATTTAATTCTATCTAGAAATAACAATGTCTAAAGATTTTTTAAAAAAAAAATTAGACTAAGGATTTTTTTTTTTGATTCTCTAGTAGTTGGATTCCATAAAATAACTTCATCATAAAGGGAAAATTTATGTATACTTTACTTGGATCTGTTTTTATGCTATTAGTTATTCTGTTGATTCTTCTCCAAACAGGAACAACCGATTTACAAATCTCATTAACCACAAAATTTAGTGAGCGACGCCAAATCTTTCTATGAAAAGTATTATGCCATTGCAAGAAATTATACATACCCTACTAAATTGATCATAGTTGATTTCAGGGATTACCTCAACAAGAGAAACAACGAAATCACGTTGAAGTGGAGCGTCTACGGAGGAGTAGTAGTAATGATCATCCTTCTTGCAAAACAAAGACACCAAGAATTTTCATCTATTTATATCACTTTTGCATAGATCGTGGCAAAGATTGATGAATTGTCCATCTTCAATTGAAGAACACCCTGATTTGCAAACGCGTTTGAACCTTAGAAGTGATTTCACAGGAAGTTTTAGTAGTACATCAGTGATGATATCAAGGGGAATGGTATTGTTTTATGCATTTTGATATGTATTGCGGCTGCTTGTTGCTAGGACTAGGGTTTTATATAAGATGGGGAAAAGCAGCCAGGGTTAGGGTTTAATATAAGATGGGCCATCAATTTTTGGACCATATTGACACCCCTTGTTGTGCCCAAACTAAGCCCAAATTTCATACACAACAATAATTTGAGGCCTAATTATCAAACATAACAATAGTTTGACTAATTACAATTCATAGCTATTATTTTAGAGTGATATATGTTTGCTCTATATTTGGTGTATCTATTCACCCAATCTCGTTATATTTACATATAAAATTTCACTAAATACATTGTGATTTGTTCGCTTGACCTAGTTATATCCACATATACATAAACTAGAAATACAAACAAAAGAACAAATGAGTCAACATTTTCAAAAAGAATACATATATGTATCAAGAAGTTTACTTATAATACCTAAATTGAGTATTATAATAGAAGGAAGTAAGAAAGTGAGGGGAAAACCAAATTATACTGAAAAACAATGAAGAAATTGAAATAATTCATACTAGAAATTTATAGAATATATTTTGGTTGGGTTTTGTTACACTTAAATTTATAGGCATGGTTTATAGAATATATTACACTAGTATATAGTTTATAATAAAGAAGGCATTTGTGTATATAGTTTATAGAAACTAATCTAATATCATATATCTAATATAAATGCCAAAAATCTCATAACTCAATTTCTTCCCTCAAATGTATATAGACGAAATAAGAAAAACTAAAGAGAATCACACTAAATAGCAAGCTGAAACTATGAAGAAGAAAATAACTTGACATACACAAAAGATTACAACTTTATACCTTTTAAATTAATAACAAAATAAAAACATCATACCTGAAAATTCACCCACCCAAGAACATCATATATAATCATTGGAATTGAAACAAAAATTGATTCCGGACTTGATGAATTTTCGACGGTATCCTGATAATTTGTCAGTCATGCCGGCGCAGGCATACACATTCTCAGTTGGTAGGGTGGTGTACATTGAAGTAGCTCAATGCATTACACACATTTTTATCCCTACATTATGTTGTTCAAAATCTTTGTAATTCAGATTCTCTGGTTTAATGTAAGTTGGTAAATGAAAATTAGATTGGTTACCATAAATCTTTTCTTTTTTCTAAGGAGATGTTAATACACATCCCTTTAGCTCGTGCAGATTTTCCTATGGAGATGTTAATATAGATTTGTATATTTATATTAATTTTTATATAATTTTTAAATATAGAAATTTTGTTTCAAAAGCTAGTAGCCTAGTATTTCCAAATTCACGATCTAATTAAGTTTAAAAATTTGAATCTCGAAATTGTAAGTGTGCTACATAAATTGAAAAAGGAAAAACAATAAATTTAATTGAAACTTTAGTTTGGATATATATGTAAATATAAAATAATATTTTAAATGAGTTTCTACTAAAAGAATTAGAAAAGAAGGTTATATGCAATTACATTTCTCCATTTCCTCTAAGTAGGTCATCCGGAGGTTTGAAAAAATAATTCATAAGGGGTTAATTTTTTCATAGTTTCATAAGTGAATTTGGAGATTTGAAACTTTTGATTAGAATTTTCACACATTTTCTATTAAAATAAAAGAAATTTAATATACATACATTGAAATAAAAAAGTAGCAACACATTTAATATACCTTTATTTTATTTTTTAAAAAAGGAAATTACAAGTGGACAAGTTAAAGAAATAACATTCATACATACCAACAACTTTCCTTTAATTTATTTTTGCATGCATGCAAAATTATATTATCCCTATTTCTCTCATCTCCATTCTTCTCCTCTTTTCCCCTTCTTCTCTTTCTCTTTCTCTCTAGAATCCTTCCCCCCCCCCCCCTTCCATTAACACAAAGGATTCAAGAGAAATCGAAAGAGGGGAGAGATGGGGCAACAAACGTTGATATACAGTTTTGTTGCCCGGGGAACGGTGATTTTGGCTGAATATACTGAGTTCACAGGTAATTTCAATATCATTGCCTCGCAATGCCTCCAGAAATTACCTGCATCCAACAATAGGTTCACCTACAATTGTGATGGACACACTTTCAATTTTCTCGCGGAGAATGGATTTAGTGAGTTTCCTAATTTCTTTCTCATTCATGATCATAGATTCTATAAATAAATGTTTTTTTTTTGTATTTTTAAAATGGAATGATATGAATAATGAAGATTCAAATTGTTGATCCCACCTTGTTTGTTTTTTGATCAATTGGATTTATTTATTTGTGAGGTGAACGCATCATGAACAATGAAGATTCATCAATCAGATCCATTTAGAGTTTTTTGTGTTTGTTGTAATTTTGCATGCTTGTGCTTATTAATTGATTGGTTGTGAGGTGAACGCGACATGAACAATGAAGATTCATCAATTGGATCCATTTAGAATTTTTTATGTTTGTTGTAATTTTGCATGCTTGTGCTTATTGATAGATTGTTTGTAAATTTCATAATGGATAATATGTTTGTACGTCCTATTTGTCATTTATAACCTGACTAAAAGAAAAGTTCGCTGATGTGACAGAAGTCATTTTTCATAAAGAAACTATATTCTGATGTTTGATTATTGAAAAACATATTTTTCATGAGAAAAACATGCTCTCGAACATTTTCTTGAAAAATGACTTCCGTCACAATAAATTGTTCAAGATTGTCTCGAAAGATTACTTGGTGGCGAATAAGAATATGTAAATAATATTGGTAAATTGAGTTTTGTGATATATATTACTATAGTTTTGGGTAATTTTTCGATATTTGTTTGATTTTTCTTATATGATCAACCAAATATTGTATAACTTATACGAAATTTTTGTCTATTATTGTAGCCTATTGTGTGGTTGCTACTGAATCAGCAGGCAGACAACTTCCCATTGCGTTTTTGGAACGTATTAAGGATGATTTTAGCAAGAAATATGGTGGAGGAAAAGCTACTACTGCTGCTCCTAAAAGTCTAAGCAAAGAATTTGGGTACCTACTAAATTGTCTTTTTATTACTTCGAGTTTAACTTATATATATGGATCGTATAAAGATACGTTAACAGTATCAAGTCATTTGAAATGTATCCATAAGAGTTCGACTTGTATATATTAACGACAGTATAGATAATTTGTGTACTATTATGTTATTTATACTTATTGTAGTAAGTAATCTGACTTATTTTTAAAATTACAGATCGCACGAGCGTTTGAATTACCTCATAATTAATTAATCTCATGTTGTTGTAGGCCAAAATTGAAAGAGCACATGAAATATTGTGTTGATAATCCTGAAGAAATTAACAAACTTGCTAAGGTGAAAGCTCAAGTTTCAGAAGTTAAGGGAGTGATGATGCAAAACATTGAAAAGGTAAGGATTTTTTTTTTTTAATTTTGTAAGTAAGGAGATTATAACAAGACAAATATACAAATTAGAAATAGTTTGAGTTGAACGGATTGAATTATGATTTATTTCATATTTAGTCTGAACCAAATAAATTTTGAATAAGTTCTGAGTTGAATTATGACTCACTCCTTTTAGACCAAATTAACTCAACCAAATTTGGATGGATTATAGCCTAAACTATTTATCAATTCAACATATTTTAACAAGTTCAAATTTAGTCCAATTCGCCTATTTGAGCCAAACCACGACACAAAAAAATGTTACGCTTGAATCATTTTCCATCTTTATTTGGCGGTTCATATTTTTGTTTTGTGTGTTCTTTGGAAGGAACTCTTATTTTAGAATACTATCTTAGTAAGTATGGTAAGAGAGTCAAATAAGTCAGAAAGAGAAGACGATATAGAGCTTTGATTACCCTATGAATAATGAATTTGTTTAAATCATGTTCATTCTTTTTTCAGGTTCTTGATCGTGGTGAGAAGATTGAACTTCTAGTTGATAAAACAGAAAATCTTCGATCACAGGTTAGCTTAATGCAACAATACATATGTTTAATTTCTTCTATTATTGATCTTTTTGAGCTTAGAAATTTTCGGTGTGTGGTCCTATATTGGGTAATAGGGGTAAAGAAAATTTAACTATGAAAATATGATCCGCCTAATCCGTCCCAACTAATTTTAACTCGTACAATTCAGATCATCAAAAAATTAGGCTGACATATATAGTTCAAATTGGTGCATGAGTAATCTTGTCACGATATGTTAGATATAGTGACGATAAAAGATAATTCTTTTATAAGTAATTAAACAAATGATAAGAAAATATATATATATATATATATATTTATTTATTTTTTATTTTTTTAAAAAAAAAAACAAACTTGATAAGAGTTAGCTGGATTGGGTTTTGACATACTATTATGCCCATTTATGACCCAACCTATTTCAATCCTTTTGGACGGATTAATGACAAATCTATTTATTAACTCAATATATATTGATATATTCAAATTCAGTCTAATTCGTCCATTTAATACCCGATAATTTATTAATTTTGTGTGATATTTTCAGGCACAAGATTTTAGGCAACAGGGAACCAAGATAAGAAGGAAGTTATGGTATGAAAATATGAAGATTAAACTAATTGTGTTAGGGATTATCATAGCTTTGATTCTCATTATCATTTTATCAGTTTGCCCTGGCTTTAAATGCATGTCTTGAATAATTAATTTGCATCAAATTCAAAAAAATAATAATTTATTTTTACCTCAAAATCTACTACTTACCACTCAATTAATTGATTTTACTTTCATAATGGTATATTAGTACACAAGAGGAGCTGGAATTGGCCTATATTATGATGTAGATTGTATATTAATCAGGATTTAGTTTGTCCTAATTACTTTTCTCCTTTTAGGGGAATTGTTTAAATTGTACTGTGTTAAATTTCATTTAATGTTGTTTCTCTAAATGAGATTTCATAATTCTAATGCAACTATTTAATTTTCATGTTTGGAGATTGTTTATATTATATTTTTTCGAAACGAGATAAGTAAAAGAAAATACAAGAGATATGTAATAAGATACAAAATTATTTTTATTTATATTTGAGTTGTAAATGAACAAAAGAGACCATTTCCTCTTAATTATCTAGGCAAAAAATGTTTGTGGACAAAAAATATTATTATTCCAACTTATATAATAATAATTAATATAGGCGAAACCAACTCTCCTAAACATTGCTACTAGTTTAGTGCCAACACCAAATTGTACCTTCTAGACATCGCTATTAATTGAGTGTTAGCACCTAGTTGTGTTGTCAATAATTTTTTAAATAAAGTAATTGCTACTAATTGAATGTCAATACCTACTTTTTCGATTTTCCACACGGTGTTAATAGTGATTTTAGAAATTATGTTCTTTTAAGTTTTTCAACATATGAAAATTGACTATAAACACTCATCAAAGAGGCAATTCATGTACTATAACTCATTATACAAGGAACATAATCACTCTTCAAAAGCTTACTATGTGTCTCATACAACTGATACTAATTATGTGACGCTTCTTTTTGTCTCACGAAAAAGTGAACCCAAACCTTACACTTTTTTGTGAGACAAGGGTGAAGCCTCAGACAACTAATGTCAGTCATGTGAGTCATATAATGAAAATTTCAACAAAAATATATGTGCATACGCTAACATTTTTACACACAAAAAAAAACTAATACCTACACTAAAAGTGCCTATATTCTTCATTAACAAGTATGATTCTAATACTCAATAACTCAAACATGAAAGATCAACAAGCTAATTGATCTCTACATGGTGAAATTTCTTCAAAAATGGGAAGTCTTCTCGATCGAAACGGAGCATACTGGTTTATCAACTGATCAAGACCATCAAGAAATGCATCTTCTAAGTTCAGTTGAGGTGAAGGAGAAGTGTATCCAAATGAACCAAATGGCTCCAATTCTTTCAACAGTTCCTCTACGCGATTCTTTGATTTAGGATCATCCGAGCCAGAGATTTTACCTTGTAAAACGTCTTCAACGACTGATCTTGCTTCACTATATCGCGATTGCTTTTGTAGACACATGCATAGATTGCACGCCTTATTGACATCAGGATCGATTTGTTGAGCCTTACGATAAACAACTTCAGCTGCTGCATAGTTGGATTGTTGCATATATGCCCAGCCCAGATTACCCTATACAATCATCCATGTAGAGAACTGTCAAAACACTCGTAACACAAGGTTTTTCAACCGCGAAAAGTGCAATTACCAACAAGGTCCTTATATACTTCGACAGTATAAAGAATAGCTACACTACAATGTAGCTTTCAACCAGCTATAGCAGGTAACATATCTTGTTTTCCACATTATCAATTCAACCTTTGCATAGACGATTTAGATGAATTCGTTCATTCAAACACACAATGTAAAAAAGCTAAAACTCTTGTGAAAACAAGGTATATACATATATAGTTGAAAGTACCAGTATTCTTGAGGTTTCTTGCTTGATAGTAACTTGAAACTTCCTTCCATGGGAACGAGCCGTCTTTGTAGGTTTACCATTAAAAACTTCTCCTTGGTAAATCATTCGTAATTTCTGCTTCAGCAGTTCAATCTGCTCCTCTAATTTTCCGCATTTCTGCAACATTCATCATCTCGAATTAATTTAGTGCATTGATCAAGAGAAAACACTGTGCCTTTAAACTAGCCGTTAACATATATACCACGAATAGGAAAAGAAATGCACTTCGACTATTCTACTAAGTACCTACTATCTCTCATCAGCACAGCACATATAATGGATAACTGTGTCCATCAAAGCTTAGACAAATACGAAAAAATCACCTAGATGTTCATATCCTCTTTAACACATTCAAAGCTAAAGGCAACTTCTCCATTGTGTTTTAACAACTTAAAACACAAAAACAACAACAATGTCTGAGTCTCAACAAGTTGAGGTCAGCTATATGAATCCTCACTTCTTCGTTTAACCTCAATTACTCATATCATCACGACATTAAAACAACAACTAATACAAATCGATGTGTTTATGCACCTTGTATAAATCGATGAGGACATTGTCTAATGATTCTTGTGCTTGTTTAGAGCATCGATCTCTAAAGGACTTAATAGCTTCAATAGCCTCTTCAGCGCGATCTTGTTGTTTCATAACGACTGCCATGTCTTTCAACGCGCTATCCACTCTATCTCCTGCATTAATCGCCTTCCAAAACAGAACTATAGCTGCCTCTGCATCTTTCTCTACTAGCTACAAGTAACACGCGGATAAATTAGTCTCACCATATTTACTTACAGACTCATTTTTGCATCTATCGATCAGTATAATTTAACTTGTTATAGTATGTCGTTCATCATTTTCACTAAGTTGCCAAAAAAAACAATACCTTATAAGTTCAACTTCAATATACTGACAATTCAAAAAAAATAACAAAATTATTTTTCTTTATTTGTAAACAACAAAAAAAGTCAAACAACTATTGGAATCACTTTTTAAAAAAAATTGTAAGAGAAAAATCATTTTGTTATATTATTATTATTATTATTATTATTATTATTATAATATCACATCAAATATATTATTAGCTACCAAGTATATTTTCGATAACGTGCCACACACTTTTTGAAGCAAAAAAAATAAAAATCAATCATTTTAACCAATTTGCATACTATGCACCCCCCCTCCCACCCCAACCCCAACCCAAAACAAATCTGGTTCAATTTGTGGTAAATTATATAAATCTCTAATTTAACATCACAATCACAAGATCCAAAAGTTTTTCCAACTTTTAAGAGGTCAATTGAAGATTCAAACCAAGACACAACATAAAATACTATCTCTGTTCCATTTTAACTGTCGCTTTAACTTTAAAAATTCATCCCAAATTAACTGTTATTTCAGAAATTCAAAACTTGAAATTGACAATTATGTTCAAATTTATACCTTAACATTAAACAATAATACACAATATTTAAGATAAAACAATCAAAATCTACTTTGTAACTATATATCGTAATAAAAGAGCTAAAACGACAGTTAAAATGAGACGTAGAAATTACCTGAGCATATTTGGCTCTAACATAAGGACTATCACCAGGAGGAAGCTTATGAATAATTTGATAATTACACTCTAATGGCTCCTTCTTTGTGCATCCATTATTATTGTTCTTCATAATTATAAATATATAAATGTATCAAATATAAAAAGTAAGAAAATCAATATAATTAAACACAAAAAAAATGGATCCTTTTTTTCTGGGTTTTATACAGAAAAAACTTGAAGATTTGTTCTGTAAATGGAGAAAAATTTGAGAAAAGTAAGAAGATTGAATAATTAAAACATAGTAATATAATTGGATTGTGTAGAAAATGAACCTGGCTTGAAATGTGTCTATGTTCATTTGTTTGTTGGCTTTCTAGACATGATTTTCAACACGTATGTAATCTAGACACGTGTCAGTTTCTATTACCATTTTCCTATTAATTATATAAATCCCTTCGTCTATTTTTATTTGTCTGATATTGACTTCACATAGGGGCGGAGCCACCTTGTGGTTAGGGGAATCATTTGAATCCTCTTTGACGAAAAATTATACTATCTATATATGAAAAAAATATTTTTTTATGTATATATAGTAAATATTGAACCTCTTTGGCTAGTTCGTGTGTCTACTTATTCAAATTTTGAACGTCCTTAGTGAAAAATTCTGGCTTCGCCACTGATTTCATACATTCGTTAAGAAATGATACTTTCTTTTTTTCCCTTTTTAGCTTGTTTTAGAAAAATATCTCTAATTTTTTTTTGTAATTCCTTAATTTCAATTTTTCATGTAAGTTCATGATATATTTGAGACTACAAGATTAAAATATATTTTGATACTTTTTATATATCTTTAATTTAAGATAATCAGATTCAAAAGTATTGTTTTTACTTTTTAAAATTTCATGCCAATTTAAACCTGATACACAAATTGAAATGAAAGAAGTATGTACCGAATAATCATAATAGTTTAATTGATTGATTAACTGAATTGTTACGTTGTCCCAAATTTTCCACCTTTTCCAATTTTTTCAAACTTTTACCTTTTCGTCTATTTAGGTTCTTAATTAGTTTTCTAAATTGCAAATTACGAAAATGGATTATGTTTTCTTTTTCTTATTAATGGGATTGAATTGACCTAAAGATTTATTGGACTTTAACACCTTCACATTTAATCTATAATATTAATCATTTTTTGGTGTTCTATCCGATGTTCAATGCTTGAAATTCTGACTAAATTTAGATTGCCAACAATGAAATAATCACATTACTGCACCACAACACATATTAATATTATTATATTAATCACTCAACCAACATCTTCACAAATTCAGAACAAAGAAAATTTTGCTTCTAATAAAGAGTTCAATATGTTTTCACTTTTTTCATCATTAATAAGAGATCTCGAATGTTAGTAGTTGGAAATTAAAAAAAAATCATGTTGAAATATCACTCAAGAATAAATCTTACAGTGTGAATCTAAATTTGATCGAGTTCTAATATGAATACGAATATTAAAATAACAGTGGGAAACAAAGAAACATACTACTATTCCTATAGATACCATAATTTAACTTACACTACAGATATCAACTATGAGACAATTTTTTGTTGATTCAACTCAATCGTTATCGAAAATTCACAATCTCATGAACCTAAATTCCTATCT